TATTGTGAGTCAAAGTTATAGCGCCACCAACTGGCAGCAGGAAGTGTGTCACTTTCAAAATGCTTTGATATCACCCTTTTATTTTTACCCGATTTGCTTCAAACTTCATCTGTATAATGTAAACATACGGCAGATGTAGACCTGTGAATGGATTCTTGATATCTTTGAAACTGTTGCCGTGGCGACGCATCAAACTTTACTCTTCTTTTAGGATGCTTTTAGGATGCTTTTGAGACCCTTAGCATGCTTCAAAATGCATGAAACTCGACAGACACATCACATTTATTAGCCAGTAGACATGTGCAAAGTTTCAGAAACGGGCGTGGTAAGGGCTCAGTAGCGCCACCTTTTGACAAAAGTGCGGTTGTTAGTTTTAACTAGAGTTACAAAAATTGGTATGTATATTGTACTCCTCGAGCCGGACAACTTTCTAATTTACACTTATTAGCTAGGACCCACAGAAACTCAGATATTTTTGTTTGAATATGGTCACTCTGAGCCTACATGTCTCTTTGTCTTTGGCTGTCTGTGTGTGTGTGTGAGTGTGCAGGGGGAGGGGGCTTAACCATTTCACTGCTGTGTGTATGACCTGCATAAAGAAAATACATTTCTCAAGCCTGGTATTTTTTAAATAAGTTTTTATTTTTATTTTTTATAAGTAAAGGCATATAACTAGTTTAATTGTAGTGCATTGACAATAGTTTTATATAATTAGTTTATTAATCAGATTAACTTGGTCAATAAACTTGGTCTGAAAATTTGGTCCATAAATCAAACACACTTGCATGTAATAATATGAAACTTGGTACACATATAGATCTCATCGTTTCATATATAGCCTACTTCACACTCTTACTTTTTACCCCAGCCCAACAGGAAGACGGCTATTTAGGGTTGTGTTTAAAACACATGCAATGGAATTTCAAGTATTGCTCCTAGAGCACTGAACCAAATTCGACAAAATTCGATCAGCGTGAAGTCAAGACATTAAGGATGAAAAGGTGCCAATGGATTTTTTTATATCTCGAACGGTTTGGCCGTGGCGAGGAAACGAAATTATGGCGAGAAACATGAAACAGGATGTGTGTTATAACTTCAGCATACATTAACTGATCTTGATGAAACTTCAGCAGTGTTTTCGCTGTAAGAGACCGATCACATGGATGTGACTATTGTGAGTCAAAGTTATAGCGCCACCAACTGGCAGCAGGAAGTGTGTCACTTTCAAAATGCTTTGAAACCACTCTCTTATTTTTAACCGATTTGCTTCAAACTTCATCTGTATAATGTAAATACACGGCAGATGTAGACCTGTGAAAGAATTTTTGATATCTTTGATACTGTTGCCGTGGCAACGAATCAAACTTTAACATTCTTTTTTGATGCTTTTGGGACTCTTAGCATGCTTGAAATTGCTTGAAACTCAACAGATACATCACATTTATTAGCCAGTAGACATGTGCAACTATGGCAAAAGATTAAAGTAATGTCAAAAAAGTAAACACTAAAAGCCTCATATCTTCTAAAAATGTAATTATACATCATTTGTTTCTAAATTAAATTATACAAATATTATAACTTCCCCAATTTTTCCTTTTTTTCATTTAAGAATTATGTTTACGTTCAAAAACAGCCAGAATTGTTGTAAAATTCATAAAAAAATAATAATCTGAGTCATACGTAGTGCTATACTGCCCTCTTGTGTTCAGTATCAGGTAATGTTAGGCCTATTGTGTATATTCCCACCGGTTAATCAACGTGTGACTCCGCTGGGACTTGGGAGCTTTTAAATCGCTTACTTAAAACCGAAAGTCAAAATACAGATGTCCGCACAAGACATTAATGGTGTGGAGTAGAGCGAGCATTTTAAATAAATTCCTATTAAGTAGGATTGAACTAAACAGAAAGAATGTTCACTCTGTTCTGCTGGTTCCTCGCTGGTGGATCATATGATTACTTTGTCATAATCTATGACAAAAATGCTATTATAAACCATATTAATAATAGATAATACACATTGCTCTTATTTTTGAAAAATACATTCATGAAAAACAAGATAACAAAAATCATAAAAACATATAGCCATGGCTGCTATAAATGTTTGAAATGCATAGGACAGATGTTTAATGACGCAGCAACATATAATTGAAAGGCAATTAATAATCTGTCATTACGTCACTGCATTATGATATTACGGCTCCAATACGGTGCAGCACAAAGCACTTATGTGCATCCCGAGCGGAGAATGATGTGCTTGAAGCCACATGAAGTTACAGCGCAGTGAGTCCATATTGAAAAGTTCAAAGCACAAAGGAAATACATATTTATGAACAGTGTATTATACATTATCTATCTATGCAATAGTTTATTGAGCCTTTTTTTTTAAAGGTTTTAAATTTCAGTTACTGTGTGCGTGAAGAACAATTATAGTGCTCTGACTCTAGTGTTGTGATCTAACCGACAGCGTCCGACACCCGGTAGAAAGTAACACGATTAAGTTACAGCAATAAAGTCCAGCAAGAAAAAGTTTCTTCATTCGAAAATATAGACCTTTAGACCTTTATCTTAAAGATCCAGTATAATAGGATTAACATTCAATCATCTTGAAGATCGTTTCATCATTGACTGTAACCGAATGTGACGTGCTGTTTGAATGCTGAATGGAGAATGACTGACAGGCGCAGAGAGGGAAAAGTTTGTGTTCTTGAATTTAATGACTTAAATATTAATTTCTATATCACATAATAGCTTCAGAACACTAATAATACAGTACACAAAAACTTTATGGTACTTTAGAAAGTTTTTGTGCCTTTGTGCCTAACATAGAATAGTATATATGCACAATATAGAATTTGAATCAGCCTCGTCAAAGATGGCAGTGTCAGAGCCGATACCGATCCTGAGAATCTAATCGGCGCACTTCTTTTCAACAGTCAAATTGAAATTGAAATTGAAATTGCTTGAAACTCAACAGATACATCACATTTATTAGCCAGTAGACATGTGCAAAGTTTCAGAAACGGGCATGGTGCAGGGACTAAATAGCGCCACCTTTTGACAAAAGTGGGGTTGTTAGTTTTATCTACAGTTACAAAAATCGCTATATACATTGTACTCCTCAAGCCGGACAACTTTCTAATACATAGTCATTAGCTCGGACCAAGAGGAAGTCAGATATTTTGGTTTGAATATGGTGAGCCTCTCTCTGAGCCTACGTCCCTGTATGGCAAGCCCTTTTAACATTTAAAAGCTAAGTTTGCCTGTCCGGAATTAACATTGTAGATATCATCAACGTCTTTCTGTCTATTCGTAATTACATTTTGGATAGTTTGTATTATCATTTAAGATATCTGTAACATAACTGTGACTAGTCGAAATGACAGAGTATGGCAAGCCGTTTTAACATTTAATCATGAAAGGGCCAAAGCCTTCGGCACCGCCACCTGGGTGCCTTTAGGTAACTAAAGGAACCGGGGTTGCGGTGCCACCGGCTTGGGCCCGCCATCGCTGCTCGCAGCTATATTTTCAATTGTTCTTTGTAAAGAAAAGCCAGTTATTCAGTCATCTTTTTAAAAGATATTATGCAAGGTCAGCAATAGTACTCTGTGTGATTTTACTCTGAAGTTTATTTTGAAGCAATTATATTTCTAGTGCAATTTTTTCTTAGTCAAGTTCTGTTTCTCCCCCTGATTTTTGTTTTTTCAAAATACTCTATTTTCTGTTGAAGACTCATATAGGGGACGAATTTAACCCTGTGTCGTTTGTGTCACACATGCCTCATGCAACAAATAAAAAGCAAAAGTTGTCTCTACACTGCCCACCCCTGTATCACTGCTGTGTGCAGACTCTTCTGTAGGCCTTTCCGTACATGTGGACTCCTGTCAGAAATAACAGGCATAGGCACAAGTAGAAATCAATTAAAGCCATCAATTAAATTAAAGTTCTTCCTCCAAAGGACAGTCATCTGAGAAGTTTTCTTCACTCTCCAGTGCAATGTGATTGATAACTCATGGCAAAATATTTTACATTAACATAAGTTTATCAGTTTTTACTTTCAAAAGACAAAGCAATTTATCATTACTCAAGATTTAACAGCTGAAATGACTAAACCAGCCAATTTGGATTGTAGGTCTACTTCATTTAATGCAGCAACAAATTATTTCATAGTGTACAAAGATAATTTAAATCTCATTTCCCAGTGATGAAGGTGTTGCTGCTGCTGGTCCCTGATGTGTGTCTGGAAGAGCTGAACCCAGGGATGCCCTTCACAACAGGGCAATTCACATTCAACCCAAGGGTCAGCTCTTCTGCCAGGGTCAGGAGCATCATTATTAGTTTTTTCTCAGCCTTTTTCCTGTTTGCTTTTATAAACAGACAATCATTTATTTAACAGTGCCTTTTTAAAAGAGACTAGTAGGCCTATAAGGCCTAAAATTACCATTAAGTAGAATATTTTTGTACTTCACTTTGACCATGTTCATTATTATAGTGTGGTGACTCGACATTACAATGAACAAAGTAATTATGAAATTATGAAAATAAAAATAAAATAATAATAAGTTATTAAAACATCTAACATGGTCACCACAAACGCATTTAATTTGTCTTCTAGTTTTGCCAGCACTCTCTCCTGGCTTTTGCACACTTTGAGGTGTTCCCTGGCGTTTTAATTAAAGACTGAAATTCGGCATAACCTTGCATTAAAAGCGCTTGCTCTGCTTGGGAGAAAAACTGGGCGTGTTCTTTGGCCATGCTGAACAGCCAATAGCAGCGCTGCTGATCACTGGTTCTGCTATCGATACATGTACCCTTTTAAACCAACGCGAGAACGCGCAGTTATCTCAGATAACTCAATCCAGCGATACTAATCATAAACAACAGGTGTGTTCGAAGAACCCAATTAGCCGGATCATGATTAGCACGATGATATCATCTTAGATCTCTCATTTGATCTCGGATGTTTTAAGCAACGTACGAAGAACGAGCCCCTGGGCAGTAAGGTAGCAACAAAAGTAAACAATAAGTCCGCACACCAGAAGATGCTCCTACGAAAATTTAATGGTTGCTCACCACGTGTACAAACGTGTACACGTGTATACGGTCTAAATTAAAATCATAGCAGAAACAAATTATTTTGACTTTTCTAGTAATCTAGTAAGAAAAAACAATAAATTTTAATTTTATCATAATATATATATATATATAGGGGAGCACGGGGCACAACCTAACGCGGGGTTAAATCTAACACGGACCGTTTACATAGTTCGTCAAGATCAAGCAGGCTGTCTTTCCGCTATTTTTCTCTTACTGCCAGAAGACGGTCTCCCACGAATTTGCGGAAAGTTTTGATAATATTTCGTGAAGATACTGGACAAAGAGTGTTTTGACACCATTAAAGTAATTTTTTTCATCATAGGTTTTTTTTTTTTTCAGTTTCTGAGTTGGGTGTATACATTTCGAAATCTAACTTTATATTGCCTTAATCACTGTCTTGTTGGCTCAAACATAGCACCGTTTTGAAAAATTGTCAGCAATTCCTAGCGACTGTTAGCCTAGAAATCGTCTCGGTTACGGATGTAACCCTCGTTCCCTGAGTAGGGAACGGAGACGTTACGTCAGAAGTGACGGAGAATGGGGGTTTCGCATTCTCCGTCACTTCTGACGTAACTCGAAGTGACTACGAAAGGGAACGTCTCGGTTACGGATGTAACCCTCGTTCCCTGAGTAGGGAACGGAGACTTTACGTCAGAAGTGACGGAGAATGCGAAACCCCAATTCTCCGTCACTTCTGACATAACTCGAAGTGACTACGAAAGGGAACTAGACGCACCCTAGCGGCAGCAAAAATTATTTTGCAGCAAAGTGTGGTCTAGCAACTCTCCATAGACGTTTGAGCTGGAAAAACTCAACTCTGGTAGGGCCAATCACATCGTGTATAGAGTCGGCGGGCAGGCTTAATGATGACAGAGTTGTGACGGTCAGAGCAAGCTCGGACATATTCGGTTTGAAGTCGTTTATCCTCGGATGCGGCCGGCGCCGCGCACGCTGTTACAAAAAAGCTGTGGCGAAACGATCAACTTGTCATTTTTGCCGCTCTCGTGCTGTCGTCGAGTATAAAGGCTTTACTCTGTGTCAGCGTGCGCTCTGATCGGTAAGGTGCACGGACCTCTCCCAAATCATCACCACTACTCCGCCTCCGTTTCCCTCGTAAGCTTTCTCTATGATATATTTTTTTTAATAACACACTGTCTCTTTCTCTCTCATACACACAAAAACACACACATACTGTCTCTTTCTCTCTCACACATATGTAGGCTAGTTATAAACTCTTCAGACTTTTAATGATTAGTGTTTTATTTTTAAAGTTTGTGGGTCGTGTAAAAAACAAAAAAAATCCCTTATTTTGGGGATGGATTCTGGGATCTCTCTTATTTTCAATGTTCAATGTTGACAGCTGGAATGGATACGGTAAAAGTTTGATATATATACAACTTGCTCCGCTGAGTACGTCACCGTCTTCGTTGCTCTGATTGGCTTTAGCGCTATCCAATTGCGTGCAGAGAGAATTTGAAAGACAACCGTTTATCCCGCCCCTCGGATTGAGCCCTGTCAATGAAGAGTTTCCAGACCTAACATCTTGATGTAGGTCTGGCATGCCAGGCTAAGCGACTGTTAGCTAGGCTTAAAATATGTAATACACAGCGGGGTTAGTTGTAACACAGTGTTACAGCTAAGCCTCCAAGTGTACAATGATAATCAAATGAAAACGGAGCCACACAACTTTTCAGGTTTGAGTACATTTAACTTTGTTAGACTTTCACAAACAATGTTGGAATTTAAAATGTTTAAAATTGAGTGTACTATGAATGATAACTTGTTTATTTATTAAAAATATGGCCTGTTATTAATGCAATAAAGCCTTTACATTTTTATTTTAAGCTCATTTGTATTATTATTACTGTTATTATTATTAATAATAATAATTGTATATGCAGCTGCCACACACGAATCTAATTTAATTGCAATTACAATATTTATAATTTTATTTATTATTATTTATTGCAAAACTATGCAGCCCTTTTCTATGTCTCTATCCATGATATTGATCCATAATAGAAGGATGATTGGATGAGGGATGGATGTATAGATATCTACCTATACAGATGCACAAACAATATCAAACTATACAAATAAAATTGTACAGAATTATGTGTGTTACACACAAGTGTTACAACTAACCCTTCTGTCAGTTACAATTAACCCCGCATATGGGGTAAGTTGTAACATTTGCACTTCTGTCACTTTCAGTGCAACTGCACGAAAATGGTACTGTAGATCCTAGAAAAAAGCTTTAAGTTTTCATTTGTAGCAGAGATGTGTGTGTTGCTTGTGTAAAAAAAAAGTATTAATCTAACCTAATTATTTTTTTATTAATTGAGCCAAAACCAAAATGCGTTAGGTTGTGCCCCACTCTTTCCTATCTATATATATATATATATATATATATATATATATATATGCGTGTGTGTGTGTGTGTTTAATTTTCTATTATATATATTAACAGAATAGGTACCTGTTATTATTTAACTAATTAAATAATTTGCTTGTATAATGACTTGTTACCCCTTTATTACCCCAAACTTAACATATTGTTCCCTTATACCTACACGGAAGTACACTATAATTACAGAAATGTACACCGTAATTTCAGTGTACTTACAAAGTTATTTGCAGGTTCTATATCTGCTTGTTACCCCTTTATTACCCCAAACTTAACATATTGTTCCCTTATACTTACACGGAAGTACACTGTAATTACAGAAACGTACACCATAATTTCAGTGTACTTACACATTTGTTTGCGGGTCGTAAAATAAAGTGTTACCAAAAGAAGTTTATGTAGATATAAGAACATCATACACAGACATCAAGAATCAGACTGTGAATTTCAACAATGGTGACAAATATAAAGCACGTTGCAGTGCATTCTGGGTGCCACCAATCAAAACTCATTTATGGCTCCCATCATGCATTTCTGCATGAATAAATAATGAGCTTTTGTACAGTTTGTCACCATTGCCGAGATTCATCCGCTAATTCTTGATGCCTGTCTCTGCATACAAATGTTTCTTTTTTATTGATTTTATCATTTGGATTTCATTGATGCTAAAAATGGTATGCTCTACAATGAGTTCCAAGTTCCCCTTTAAACTGAGGTAAAATGTGATGCTTCTGTTTTGATTGTCCAGTATCAGGAGCGTCTGATCGCACACAGCTTGTGTGGGGACGGAGTCAATGTGATTCCGGCTATTCCTTTGAGATCCAGATCATCTCCAGACACTCCAGGAGGAGTTGTGAAGCGGTAGCTCTGAAGGAGGGAAGTGAAGAACAGGAAGAGCTCCATCCTGGCCAAACTCTCTCCCAAACAAACCCTTCGGCCTGAGAGAGAGAGAGAGAGAAAGTAAGTGAGAAAGTAAAAGACTGTTTTTAATGCCAAATCAAATGTTTATTTCTTCAAAACACTGGGTGTTTAGAGTTGAGCGTATACCTGCAGAAAAGGGCATGAAAGCATCTCTCTTGACAAACTGGCCCTTCTCATCTAGGAAGTGTTCTGGGTAAAAGCTGTTCGGTTTCTCCCATTCGCTTGGATCCTTCAAAACAGACGTCAGCAGAGGAATTACATTGGTACCCTAGAAAATGGAGAAAAGAAAATGTTCGAGATACACATGGTCTCGTTTCTAGGCCTAAATATGTATTCTTCTGCCTGACCTTCTTGATGAAGTATCCATTGAAGTGAACATCACAGCTGGTCTTATGAGGGAGATTCATGGGCAATATGTTGGCCAGTCTCTGAGTTTCATGAATCACAGCGTCTGTATACGGTAATTTCTTTCTATCTTCCACCGCTGGCTGACGTTCACCGATTACTCGGTCAATCTCCTCATGAACTCGATCTGCACACAAATGCAACACACATTTGTTTCCGCAAAGCAAAATCCCCAGTGTTAAATTAACACTCAGGGCCCTATTTTAACGATCTGAAATGCAAGTATCACGTAACTTTGTGGGCGGGTCTTGGGCCCTGTTGCTATTTTACCAGCGGGATAAATGACTCTTGCACCTGACACAAGTTTAAAAGGGGTCTGAAGTACTCTAAACACGCCTCCTTTTTGCACCGACCCGCCCAGGGGTTCAAGTTCATTTCCTAGTTACCGACGTGCGTCTGTGGAGGGAAAAGCCCACTTTGCGCGGGTGCAAACTAGTAATTTGCGTCAGGTGCAAGATAGGGCCCTGAGTGTACATATATGTCCAACTACAGGGTGTAGTAATATTGAGGCCCTGTTTACACGAGAGCGCTCGCGGGTGAAAACGTAAAAATATTTTATCGGATGTGCCTTTCGTTGAGGCTCAAAAACGCAAAAAAGTGAAACCACCCTCCAGAGTGGAAATCTTAAAAACGCTCCACCGCCGCGTTCCCGTGTAAACGGTAAAAAACGCAAAAGTCTGCTTGACGGTAAAAGTGGACTTGGTGTTGTTGTAGTATGCACTCCTAGTCGCCTGAAGTGCATACTACATTGAATTTCACACACTTTTGCGTCTCCATTTGCACGTGGATTTCCCACACAAAACGCTCGTCTAAAAAAAAGATGACGCAACGCCACTTTTGCGTTTTCTCTTCAGAATCGTTTCCGTGTAAACAATGATTCTTCTAATTAACATTATCACTAATGGCCAATCATCACTTAATTAATCACTTACTTATCTCATTAACTTCAACACTTCTTCGAATTTTCATTTTTAACATCCTGTAGTTGGACCTATATGTACACCAGGAGTGTTCATTTAACACTAGGGAGTTTGCCGTGTGTAGACAACATTAAACTCAGCATTGGGAAACCCCCCCTGGCAATATTGGTATTTTTTTTTTACCCTGTATATGAGGGTATTTGGCCATGAGCATCAAACCCCAGCGCAGAGTCGCTCCTGACGTGTCAGTACCAGCACCAAACAGATTTCCCACCGTCACAATAAGATTGTCCAGGTGAAAGTGTGAATCTTTCTTACAGGATTGCTGAAAAGCAAAAATACATTAAAAATGCTCAATTAAAATGCTAAGAATTAGAAAACTTAAACATCAAAATGTATGCAATTTGTAGTAGTAATTTAACACCCTGGGGTCGGCAAACGCACCGCCGCTTTTCACATAGCAGCAAAATAGACTTAAAATATTCCGTCATTTTTGGTCATACAGACTTAAGAAATATGAAAAATAAACAGTTGAAAGTCTTTTTTTTTCTGTGTCCACTTACAGTCTAAACAAAACATTGTGCTTTTATCCACAAGTTTCCGAGGGGCGCTCCTGTAAAAAATAAAGTGGGTGAAACTTCCGGTGACGTGGCGGAAGCAGCATTCCAATGGTATTTTGTGTGTTAGTTAGCGAAGAGGCTAGCTGTTTTTCTGAGAATTATTTTACTATTTAAAGACGCAAATCTTTATGAGAGATGTCGTAACGGAGCTCAGGGACAACATGTGCTGTTCGCGGTTGTACGTATAACCGGACTAAACTAATTCAGTGGCTTAAAACGTGATTGTTTTGAACATAAGCTGAAAACTAAATCAGAGTGATCCTGCCAGAGCCCGTCTCTGACCTGCCAACGACTGTAGTTTCCATTACCTCCCAAAAGACGACGAATCTTCCTGTGTACATTTGTTTAAATTCTTAATATTGTATAAACTCTCTCAGCATGTAATTGGCTGTTTGCTACTGATGTTACACCTAAACTCAGGATCAAAGCCTGTGTTGACAGAATACCAGATGTCCCAGTTAATGTATTCAAGCAGCACATTCATTTATAATTTTGAATAAACTCCAAAGCACAATGACTAAGTGTGTATTTTTTATTTTAATTGTTTGTCAGCTCGCACAACTGTCTGTCACCATGCCTTGATGAGTATTGATTATTAATATTGTTATTATAATACTCCCAATCAACTACTGCGATACTGTTATTTCACCCTTTTTAATTTCGTTGAGGTTGTGTTCCCACATCGTTAGCTAGTTTGGATCGGTATAACTTGAATGACTGTCAACTGTTGAATGAACGAGTGTCAAGCATGTCAAGTCGCGCTTTGTTTACTTCGAACCGGAAGTCGCACCCACTTTTGACGCAAGGCCTCATGGGGTGTAGGAAACTTGTGGATAAAATAAAGAAAATAAACAGGGTGTGCATTCTGGCTCTCCATCACCAGAGTCTTTTTTTTTTTTTTTTGGAGCACGTCTCTAAACTTAAACAAAATTCAGCGAATCCTATTCTCCCAGGCATGAGCTACATATTTTTAAAATCATATAATCGTTATAAATCGTTTGTGTGTATATGTGAACAAGGAAAGGCCACAGGAAGTTCACGATCATGTTTAATAAAGCCAGTAATAAAGAGACATTTTTTATGCTTCTACAACCATGGCGAGTACCTACTAACAAGAAACACATGCGAACAATGATCAGACACATGGCAAACAGGGAATCACACGACAGACAAGAACAAGGAACAAGACACAAAACCCACAACGTGACATAGATTGTCTCCTTGTTCCTGTTCCGAGTTCCTGTTTAACCTGGATTGCCTTTTTGTACTATTATTATTATTATTGAATTAGTTGCTTGCATTTGGATTTGCTCTTTGCTTCATGCCACAGGTTACAATTGTATTGTGTCGCCAAATATATTTGGTTTTAGCGTCTTTTGTGCATATTTCATGTTGTGTATATCTATGCCTAATAATTAATTAAACAATTGTGTTTATTAGTCAAAGCTGATGATTACTTTTTATTTTCTCCTGTATTTCTATGGAACAAGGTGATTTCAGTACCTCGTCGCTCTGTTTGCGGATGAGAAAGGAGTCGACAAACCCTCTGCGCTCGTGTGGATTCAGAGTCTCCAGCAGTCCAGTGAACATCCTCGTCATTTCTGCTCTATGTTTCAACACATTTCTTACAATAATCCTTTTGCTGTTGAGGAACGGACCCAACCACGGAAATGTATTATAAAGCTGCAAGAAAAAAACGCATGTATTATGAATTAAAAAAAAAAAAACAAGTAACCAAAAACGTATAGTAAAGCATACTTCCATACCATCATAGAAGGCGATCCAGTAATACTAATACTTTCATGTGACCTTTTGACCATTTCTTGGAATTGAGGGTCTGTGTATTCAAATCTGCTGCCGTACACAATAGATGAGATGATGTTTGACACAGCGTAGTCCACAGGCTGTGTTGTGTCGAAGGGTTTCCCTGTGAAGAGAAAACAAACGTCTCTCAACGGATCCTTTAAACTAAGAGCGTGATTGCAGATGTCCATAAATGTGTTTCAGCTTGTACCTTCAAACTTATCAAACTCTTCTTTCAGATAGTGAATTTCCTCTATGATTTTCTCTTCACTTCCTCTCTTGCCCATCCCGAAGTCCCGCAGGTTGCTGAGAGCGAAGCGTCGCATCTCTCTCCAGTTCTCTCCATTGGAAAAAATGATTCCTGATCAACACAGAACCATCCGACCGTGACCCAGCTAGCAGGGAACGTTCTCAGAACATTGACTAACATTCCCTATTTGGTTAATGTTTTAAAGAAATGTTCAAAGAATGTTTTAAGCAGAGTAGCTCCCAGGCCTAGAAAATAGTGTATATTCACAATAATTACTTACAATCTATATGTATTATTAATTGTAATATGTATTATTATAATTACTGTTATCATTATCAAATCTTTACTACCACTCTTACTACTCCTATTATTATCATGAATGCTGTTGGTTGCCACTGTTACCACTACTATCACTACTATTGTTATCTATGTTATAGTTATTATTATTATTAATTTGAATACTGCCTCTACTTCTACTACAATTCTATCACAACTACCATGAATATCTCAATATTGCTTCTATCTAAATCTCTAAAATATCCCATTGTTTAAAACATACCAATGTACTTGCATACATGTTTTTGTCTTTGTTTTTCTTTTCCTTTTTTCTCTTCTTTTGCTTATTTTTGTTCTGCCTACCTTGTATGTACTCCATGTACGTCTTTCTCTCTTTTGTATGTACACATAATTCACTGATCTCTTATTTTTGTATAAATTATGTTTTGTTAACTTGCAATAAAAAAACAGAATGTTATCCTACTCAGAAAAAACTCAAAGTGTTAAATTAACTCTCCTGGGAGTTTATTTTACTTCACACTCAAAGAGTTAAAGTGTTCAAATATGAGTGTTAAATGAACACTGAAGAGTGTTAAAATTAATTAGATAATTATGTTAGTAATTGTGTGATGATTGACCATGATTGAAGACACCCGATGTTGTTAACAAGCAGAATCACTGATGAAGAAAATCAAATTTTAAGTCAAAATTATGGTGATCAGTGTTTGATTTAGTTGAGCTCTTGACCCTTAAATTGTTCAATTGTTAAATTAAAAAGCCTGTGAATCTCAACAATGGTGACAATAATAAACCATGTTGCAGTGCATTCTGGTTGCCACCAATCAAAACTCATTCATACATTGCAGTATGAATAAATTATTATCTGAACTGTCCTTTTCCTAATTAAATATTTAATTTGTCACCATTGTTGGGATTCATACATTCATTCTTCATGTCTGTTTGTCAAAACATAACCAACAAATTCAGATCACCTTTTCTCTTTGTTCATCTGGCAGTTATGTAAGCAATAAGGTATGAGAGGCTGTGCTGTATCGTGAATAAGTAACGGCTGAAGGGCGTTGTTAGGCACGACACGAAGCGAAACGATTTGCAAATCGTTGAGCTCGCCGACAGGTCAGGGTGTTATCGCGGGGGATTAGCGGACGATGAACGCTTGCCAATCTGTTAGTATGAAATAGCCAACAACGCAGCGAAAACGCTCGCAGGCGCCTCGCAGACGCGTCGCCGAGCCCAGAAAAATATCTAGCCTGCTAGATATCCAGAGCCGTCGCGCGACTCAATCTCAGTGATGTCATGAGTACAGCCAATCATAGCAACGCATGGGTTGAGGACACCAGGTAAATCTTAGTTTTTATATATATATATATTTTTGCATTTTTTTCTCAGAGCAGATCGTTGCGCAAACAGTGTGTAGCAACAGTGTTTTTGTCTGACGTCCATATTCAAGTGTTGTGCACGTGCTGTTTCGCGTCATTTCTGGTTCGTTTTATTGCTGGTTTTTCGTGACAAAACGTGGTTTGTAGACAAGATAGAATCGTTGGGTGACAGAGTTGATGTCAACTCGTTATTTATTTGATTATTTTCATGATTTAGACCGTACCATAGTACTGAAACAGCTCTCATTAGAGTCAAAAATGATTTGCTCTTATCATCCGATCGTGGTTGTATCTCTATGTAGTGCGTTGTCAACTCGTGTAGTGAGTTACCTCCTGTTGTGGATCAATCACGTTGTGTTGTGTGGTGTGCACAGCTAAACAACTTGAACCCTCCTGATTTCACTGAGAGCAAGTCATGTAGTGTGAACCGCACAGTTCAGCCCGGCGTTTTAAAATCATGTAGTGTGAACTAGGCTTTAGGAGAACATTCTGGGAACCAAAATAAAACTACCCGCTGAAAACATTATTAGAACTTTATAATGTTCCTAGAATGATTTTAGAACAAAACATTTCTATTTGGGGAGTCTCAGCAACAACACATGGAGAAAATGAATACTTTGGAAATTAAACATTTGTTTACCTTAGACCTTTGGGACTTATTCAGTCAGCTTGATTATACACATTATCTCATTTCACCACTGTGGATTCCCAGCAATATTTGGTGCCATAATTCATTTATTTATTTATTATTATTTTTTACATTTTTATGCAACATAAATTCATAACTACACTGTAAAATCTAATTGGCTAGACTTGCTTAAAAAAAATATGCCGGCTGTAGTTAGAAATGTTGGATTTTCCAGATTTTTAGTTTTTTCATGGTTAAAGTAAGTTGTTCACCACCAAATGTTTTAACCACCAAAACTTTCAAACCCAATTACATTGGCCTGGAGAGGCCAAGAGGAACTGAAATTAACTTTTCAACATGGCATTTACAGTTAGTTCTGTACATTAAGAAAACCACAAATAATCCTACCATGTCCTCCGTTAAACAGGCTGAAAACAGGTTCAATATATCGGTCACCGAACTCTTCTGCATGGTTCACGAGAGCTTCTTTGACGGTTTTGTACCCAACTAAAACCACCGTTTTTCTGGGACCCAAAAACACTTGGAATATGTTTCCGTAGGTTTTGGACAGCTGGAGGAAAGACATTTACAGACAAATCTTAAAATGTTAGAGAGCACTATTCATTTTAAACATATCAAGTTCCCACCTCACAAAAGGTGTCAAAGGGTCTCTTGAGGTCAAGGGTCAGCAGGTTCCCCAGCAGCGGCAGAGGTTTTGGTCCCGGTGGCTCTTTCCCCTCTTTCTGAGATCTGGATCCAGAGGAAAGCAAATACAGAACCAGAAGCAACAGCGAAGCGCCCAGTAATGTTCCTGTGCTGAGAAACTGCTGAAGTGACTCGATTACAGCCATGTTCTCTCTAAGCTTCTGAACTGTTGCACTCGCAGATTTATAGCTGCTATGTAAGGGAGGGACCTAGAGTGATTCAACACAAATTGACAAAAAATACATTATAACAGAGGCTTATTATTGTTACATCAGCAAGCTTCACGTTTTTTTTTTTTTAAAGAATCGTATTTTCACACACAGTTCATATACAAAAAAATCAGCACTAGAGGTAACTCACCTGTCCAGAAGAAACAGTGCAACCTCAGCGTCCAATTTGAGTTCTCTCCACCGATTATTATTAAAAACCTTCCCGATTATTTATTAAAGCCTTCCCGACTATTAATCGCTTCTTTAATGAGAAACGACGGTATACCCTCTCCCTAATCCTCCTTCTCTTCTTGGGGATTGCCTCTTCCATGTTAAATGGTCCATTGATAGTTGATAGACGCTGGCTTATTCTTCAGTTGTTAGGAAAGATTAGATGAATGTGATCATTTTTGTTTGGGCCTGAAAACACTGATACAACATTTAAGTGATTAACTGCACTGTTAACCCTTACTGTAAAAAAGTGACAGTATCATCATACCATTTCTCATTTTAACAATAATATACCATAGAAAACAACGCATTCTGGTTTATATTTGCATTTTCGAAAAAGTAGCCTATTAACACAGGAATATAGCTATTAACAGCGCTCAAAGTTGGCACTCAGAGGCTGTGTTTCAAATCACACCCTATACCCTCATTCACTATTCACTACATTAGTCCATTTGAATGAAAAGTGAGTGAATTGAGAAACCGATGAACACCTGAAAAGCAGAATCACTGAAGGAGAGAGAAACATGAACTGAAAAAGAGAAACTCAAGAACTAGAACTGAGTGTGAAAACAGTTTACAAACCAGTGTAACATTATGTCCTTCATACATGTACATGCTCTTGTTGAGAATTAACAGAGATTTAGTTAATAATAAAGTTTGTTTGGCGCCATGATGGAGATCCAGCATTTGCTTTAGTTGGTTTCTTGACCCTTGACTTTATAACATTAGTTTGTCTCTGGCTGCTGTTACTGTGAGTTTATAAAACATTATTTTTGAAAACTTGTCATAATAAAACATGTTGACTAACCTCTGAGAAGCCTATCTGAATATGTGTCTATAACAATTTTCCATCCATACAGAGGAGGCATATACGGAGGCATATTGCATTCACTTGAAGAAAAAAAAATCTACTCTGTTTTTCTGAATTAACAAGTTAATTTTTCATGAGAAAAAAAAAAACTTTGCTCTGTTTTTCTGAATTAATGAGTTAATTTTTCATTAGAAAAAAAAAGTTTTTGCTCTGTTTTTCTGAATTAATGAGTTAATTTTTCATGACAAAAAAAATTTGCTCTGTTTTTCTGAATTAATGAGTTAATTTTTCATGAGAAAAATTTTTGCTCTGTTTTTCTGAATTAATGAGTTAATTTTTCATGAGAAAAAAATGTTTTGCTCTGTTTTTCTGAATTAATGAGTTAATTTTTCATGAGAAAAAAAAAAACTTTGCTCTGTTTTTCTGAATTAATGAGTTAATTTTTCATTAGAAAAAAAAAGTTTTTGCTCTGTTTTTCTAAATTTAATAAGTTAATTTTTCATGACAAAAAAAATTTGCTCTGTTTTTCTGAATTAATGAGTTAATTTTTCATGAGAAAAATTTTTGCTCTGTTTTTCTGAATTAATGAGTTAATTTTTCATGAGAAAAAAATGTTTTGCTCTGTTTTTCTGAATTAATGAGTTAATTTTTCATGAGAAAAAAAAACTTTGCTCTGTTTTTCTGAATTAATGAGTTAATTTTTCATTAGAAAAAAAAAGTTTTTGCTCTGTTTTTCTGAATTAATGAGTTAATTTTTCATGACAAAAAAAATTTGCTCTGTTTTTCTGAATTGAGTTAATTTTTCATGACAAAAAAAAAATTTGCTCTGTTTTTCTGAATTAATGAGTTAGTTTTTCTTGAGAAAAAAAGTTTTTGCTCTGTTTTTCTGAATTAATGAGTTAATTTTTCATGAGAAAATTTATTTTTGCTGTTTTTCTGAATTAACTCATTAATTCAGAAAAACAGAGCAAATTTTTTTCTCATGAAAAATTAACTCATTAATTCAGAAAAGAGCAAAAAAATTCTCATGAAAAATTAACTCAATTATTCAGAAAAACAGAGCAAAAATTTTTTTTCTCATGAAAAATTAACTCAATTCAGAAAAACAGAGCAAAAAATTTTTTCTCATGAAAAATTAACTCATTAATTCAGAAAAACAGAGCAAAGTTTTTTTTTTCTCATGAAAAATTAACTCGTTAATTCAGAAAAACAGAGCAACATTTTTTTTCTCATGAAAAATTAACTCATTAATTCAGAAAAACAGAGCAAAAATTTTTTTCTCATGAAAAATTAACTCATTAATTCAGAAAAACAGAGCAAAAATTTTTCTCATGAAAAATTAACTAATTAATTCAGAAAAACAGAGCAATTTGTTTTTCTCATGAAAAATTAACTCGTTAATTCAGAAAAACAGAGTAGATTTTTTTTCTTCAAGTGAATGCAATACGCCTCCGTAGGCATAGCCTACTTTAAATGTATTGAAATTAATAAGGCATTTTTGAGTAAACTTCGAGTATCATTGAGTATCTGTTTGCAGGGCTGAGTGTCCTGCTTTTTGGTGATCAAAATATGGTCACCCAACATTACATGGAAAGTGAGATATTTCACGTCTCTATTTGTTAATTTACATGATCGTGGCTTACAGCAATGAAAACGTTTTCACAATATTCTCATTTTGAATTTGGGGTTTTCGGAAGCTGTTAGCCATAATAATCAACATTATAACAAATAAAGGCTTGAGGTATCTAACTTTGCATGTAATCTAAAACCACGTTTTGGTTTCCCGCGACATGCGCAGCTCTCAGGGAGCGCAGGCTGGCATGTCTGTCCATGACATACCCTATCTAAGGCCACCCTGACGATTTATAGAGGATACCACCGACATGTTGTCCGTACGGACCAAGATGTGGTGTCCTCTGAGGTCTGGAAGAAATGCATTCAGGGCTAACCAAACTGCTCTCATTTCCAGACAGTTGATATGCAAGTTCTTCTCCAGGCTCAGCCAGAAGCCGGAGACCTCCCCAACCTTGGTTGGAGGCGTCTGTGAAAATTACTTTCCTCCTGGAGGCCACACCTATAATTACACCCAACTGGTACCAGTTCTGGACTTTACAAGGGACCAGAGCGCTCACACAGCGCTGGTTCACCATAATGTGCAGGCGGCCTGACCGCCATGCATGGGCTTTAGCCAGTGCTGAAGGGGGCGCATGTGCAGTAACCCTAGTCGGAGAACTGACGATGCGGCGGCCATGAGACCGAGAAGTCTCTGAAACTTGAAGGAGGCTATCATATAGTGTACATCATATCATAAATGTATTGTTGTTTATTCTGGTATCTTCGTGGTGTAATATTTCTTTATTTGTTTATTTATTTATTCCTTCAGTCATTTTTGTATTTATTTAAAAATAAAAAGATAAGGTTACTTTTGATGAGATGATGCATGTTAATGGGTTAATCCAGGGCTATTCAATTAGCTTCATTCGAGGGCCGCATTATTGAATCGAAAAGTTGAGCTGGGCCGGTGGGTTTGGCTTATTTATTGAAACATAACAGTATCAATAAGTGAGCTAAAGTAAACAAACAAAAAAGGTTTCGCATTTACTAGGAAATGTGGTACCCAACAGTATGCAGACCATAATAAATAACTTTTTTTTACAGCTATATACAAATATATTGAATTATACAATATCATAGCTATTGGCAAGAATTATTTTTATTAATAATTATTAAAGGCTCAAATTAAAATATCCTGACAGTGAGACTTGTGGCTCACTACCACTGTAAAAAAAATGCCTAAACAGGTAAACAATTATACACATTTTTGCTCGGTCTCTCTCGCGCGCAAAACACTCGGCCTTTCTCGCGCGCACTGAAACGCTCGTTCTCTCTCGCGCAGTTCGCTTCGCTTTTGTCCAGTCCGGCGCCTCATACCACTGCGGCCATGCACATATCAAACCAAATTTAGCCGCACCACCAGAAAATAGGAGGGGGAGGTTGGAGTGCTCTCGGGCCGCATGGAGATGATTGGCGGGCCGCACTTGGCCCGCGGGTCGCCAATTGAATAGCCCTGGGTTAATCCTTCTAAAATAATTAAATCTGGGAAACCATTAAAAACAATAACCAATACAATATGCACCTGCTGCTCAAGATCGTTTGAATCGAGAAAAAAAAAAAAAAAAAAAAAGTCAGAAGTGGAGTTATTTGCATGCATTTGGTGAATTTAATCAGAAAAAGTTAACTCATGTCAGGTCTTAATTAAACTGAGGTCAGATGTGATGTTTCTGTTCCAGTATCAGGAGCGTCTGATCGCACACAGCTTGTGTGGGGACGGAGTCAATGTGATTCCGACTATTCCCTTGAGATCCAGATCATCTCCAGACACTCCAGGTGGAGTTGTAAAACGGTAGCTCTGAAAGAGGGAAGTGAAGAACAGGAAGAGCTCCATCCTGGCCAAACTCTCTCCCAAACAAACCCTTCGGCCTGAGAGAGTGAAAGAAAGTAAGTAAGTGAGAAAGTAAAAGACTGTTTTTAATGCCAAATCAAATGTTTATTTCTTCAAAACACTGGGTGTTTAGAGTTGAGCGTATACCTGCAGAAAAGGCCAAGAAAGCATCTCTCTTGACAAACTGGCCCTTCTCATCTAGGAAGTGTTCTGGGTAAAAGCTGTTCGGTTTCTCCCATTCGCTTGGATCCTTCAAAACAGACGTCAGCAGAGGAAACACATTGGTACCCTAGAAAATGGAGAAAAGAAAATGTTCAAGATGCACATGGTCTCGTTACTAGGCCTAAATATTTATTCTTCTACCTGACCTTCTTGATGAAGTATCCATTGAAGTGAACATCACAGCTGGTCATATGCGGAACCAAGGGAGCAATATCAGCCAGTCTCTGGGTTTCATGAATCACAGCGTCTGTATAC